AAGTCACTTAGAGTGGAGACTCGCTATTGCTACTGTCCCAACCACTCCTGTGAGACCAGTTCCGTAAAAATATCAATTGAGGCACCACTGCAAAGGCAGCTAAATGCCAAGGTTGCATATGTGAGGATAAATCTCTAGGGTGACTCATTGCCAATACTCGGAGATCAAAGGCCAGGTTGGATTTGGGAGAGTGTGAGTGAGTGAGTGAGTGTGAGTGTGTGTGTGTGTGTGTGTGTGTGTATTTAACATTCTGTGCCTCGTTAATCAATCATCTCAGCGTTGAGTATTTAAATTCTAACTTCAGCAGAACAGAACATCCTAGGCTGTTCAAGGAAGGATGTGCAGCCAAGAGAGACTCCCACCATGACCCACCACCAGTGATCTTTAAGTGGGATGACTGCTCATAATCTGTGATCACACACATCCCTGGCTAGGACACCACACGTGGCAAGACAAGTAGAAAATGTGGGCTGGTAAAATGTTTATGGTTCAGAAACAATTCATTACACATTGGTCAAAAGCATTCCTACTTACTAGCTCATCTGGGTACAGTTGGCTTGGGTGAGTGGGGCTAAGTGCCAAGGAGGCCAAGGCCTAAGTCTAGCATCCGGGCCAGATGGCCTTTCCCATGCCACACTAGACCCAGACGCAGTCAGGGCCCGCAGACCAGATGGGTGCTGCAGTGGGAGGTCGGGTGGAGACCTTGGGTGCACCTGTGCCTTTTCAGCACGAGCACTGCCCGGGAAGGACGGAGAGAGCGTATCTCTGTTTTGTGGTCTCAAGATCATCAGGTTCCATTCCCCAGGGCAGCGTGAGGGCACTGGGGAACACCATGTTCATCTTGCAAATCCTACCCAGGTTCTTTCGTGATGGCTGTAAAAGCAATTAGGAGACTTCTTTGAGTGAAAGTCTCAAATATTGGAGAGTGGTAAAGGAAGGTTTTTCTTACTAGAGTAAGTGCTCTCCTAAATGCCTGTGGCTCAGCAGACAGGCTCCACTCTGCTGTCAGACACATCGTGAGCGGGTGCCCACAGCAGCCCAGCCTGTGTCCCAACAGTGGCCTGATGCTTAACCAAAAGTTGTTTTGCTCCCCAAACTTGCTCCTGCCAGGTGCACCTATTACCTAATTGCAAACTAAGAGTCTCTAAAACTCTTGCCATTGAATTGGGTGTGGGAGTCAAGACTGAGCAAGAAAGAAGAAAACAGGGTAAAAATAGAGAGTTATGTACGGTGTTCTTTGCAAGTGCTCCCCTGCACTGTAAGTAAACCAAAATGGAAATCACAGATGATCCAGAACAGCTGAGTTTTCTTGCTACAGAAACTAAGGGGCGACAGTTAAATAGCCTTGGCCCCATGCCAAAAAATAGGTGCTATATTTATTGATTTTAATTTAAATTGAAAATTTGAGGTATGGGCATAACCTCCTTCCCCCAAACACATGAGCCAAGAAGTGCAAAAGCATATTCACCTTAAGTGACCAATTCCCAAACCAATTCCTGAACGGGTTGCCTTTCTCATGAAGTATGTGCACACAAAGATCTTTACATGTCAGGGAAGGGCTGGCCTCTTATCAACTGCTAGGGGAAGTGGAAGTGGGTTCACGACTTCCAGAGACTTGTCTCAGTGTAAGGGGCAGCCTCTTAAGGGGAAGGAGGGTCAGAAGTGGGGCTGACCCAGGACACCCTGCATATCAATGCCACCCAAAATCTCCCACCACTCTGCACTGTGGCTCATGAGGCTGTGCCACATGGGATCAGAAAAACAGAAGCTTCCTTGGTTGTGGAGGGTAGTGTAAAGCCAGAAAAGAGATGGCACCAGGTAGGACACTGAGGAAACACAAGCCATGGTCTGTGATCTCTCCCTACAACTAGTAAACAAATCAAAACAAAACAAAACAGAATGCTCCCTTGGCTCTTTCAGCAGCTAGCACCAATTTCTTCTCAAAACTTGGCTACATTTACTACCACAGCTATCACTGCATTTCACCACAAGAGGGCGACAGTGCTTCTAAAATGAGGGATTCTTGCAGAGCTAAGTAATCATTTAGAATTCAGGAATTTCAGGGCTGGAAGAGATCTTAAAAATCATTTGGTTCACTGGCTTTCAAAAATCTTTAGCTGAAACCAAAATCCAGAATTGCATTCTCCATAATGACCTAGTTCATACATCTATATTTGAAACACATTTTAGATCCTATTTACTCTTACTTTCCGAACACACTCTAATAATTTGTATTCCAAACAATTTTGTTAAAAAACAAATGGACACACCACAAAACATCTGCGACCCACTAAACTGATTTCCTAACCCACTAGGGGGCCATTATTTTGAAAACTCCTGATTTGGTCCCTGCCTCTCATCTTTCAAAGGGATGCAGGGACCTCATGTGTGGAGAGGGCTCCTTACTGGCTACACTTTCCACACATACCCAGCCACCTTGCTCACCCTGGGGTCAGTCCTGGATGAGGGACAGACATTGTGAAGCAACTGAGTATTCACTCTAGAAATGCACTGATGGAATAAAGAATGCAGACCCGAGTTTTAGGGATCTACTGTTTTTCACTTCTTGTCAATACTACGACTGTTCTCATAATTAAAGCAGAAATTCCTGAAGCCACTATGCTGAAAGCCCCATGCAGGTGGTGTCTGTGCTCCTCATTCAGGTAGCTCAAACACTGCTTCAAAACTGAGTGAATCTCAAAGCTTTCCCAATGATACCACCCCATTCTAAATTAGGGCCAATAATATGTAGCCCAGTGTCAGGCACATAGTAAGTGCTCAAGAAGTAACTCATAGATAAAAGAATCACCCTTAAAATGGTTAATTCACATTTCACCACCTTAAGAGCAATAACCAGGGAAGACCTCTTTCTTCTCCAGGCTGTGTGGCTCACTGGAGGCAAAGCAGGGGCTAGAATACGGGTTCCTACAACACCACACCAACTGGCACCCCACATTGTGGAAAGGCAGCCCATGGCAGCTCCCCAGTAGGAAACAGCACATACTCCCAGCCGGCCCTGCTCTCCTTCTGCTACTCCCCAGCATCCTGGCAGGCCACTGCCACAAATTTTGCTCCGGGATGTCCTGATCACCCTTGGGGGGTGGGGGGGACTTCATTTAGTGGTGATGTTTTGAGGTGGCAGGGGAATGAAGAAAAAAATTTCACCAAGTTGCTGGGAAAAACTGAAAACACTTCAGTCTCTAGAAATTCTTGGCCCTGAAAGAGGGCTCACTGAGCTCACTTTCTTGGCTCCTTGATTTAAAAACATTTATGGGGCTCCTGAGTGGCTCAGTCAGTTAACCATTGGACAGGCTCAGGTCACGAACTTGTGGTTTGGGAGTCTGAGCCCTGCACTGGGCTCTGTGCTGACAGCTCAGAGCCTGGAGCCTGCTTTGGATTCTCTCTCTCTCTCTGTTCCTCCCCCACTCACACTCTGTCTCTCAAAAATAAAGATTAAAAAAATTTTTTTAACATTTATAACAATTTTAAGAAATATAAAGGTAAGTCAAATGACAATAGGAAGTTATTCCTATTACTTCTTATATTATATCTTAGGGTCAATGCCCTTTCCCCTACTTATTAACACTTCCTCCCCCATCTCATGCACATCTGCCTCTACTGTATTGATTTATTCCCCCGCCCATTTTGTTTGTTTACTTGTTTGGGTCAAAAGGAGAATCTCCTTAAAATTCAGGAATGTTATACTATTACAGATGAAAAACACTGAGTTCTTTGTGGAAGAGAAGGGGAATTTTTACTTAACTCACTTGTGTTTTGAAAGCTTAGTTTCATTATTTTGTGAAAGATGCCAAGTATTTAATCTTCCTTTCAAGAGGATGACTAAATGCATAAAAAACAAAGTACTATTCTTTAGCTTTTATGGTTTTGGAAGGAAGAAAATAATTCCTGAATTTGAAAACTGAGCTTGGTTTTCTGTGGGGATCCCTCCTCAGTGAAAACAGGGAGCACATGTTCAGGGACGCTTATCTTTGGGCTCTGGGAGGTGCCTAATCTCCCTCCTACTTTGATAGAAAGTTCTCAAGCTCTGTTTCCTCACTTCTCTGTTGGACTAGTAAAACTGAACAACTTTCTCCCGAAGACAGCAAGGCTTGTTAAAACAGGTGAGAAGAGTAGATTTCTAGAAATCTCTAGAAAACTTTTCATTTTGGTGGTCAATAAATTTAACCACCTCAGGCACAAGATTAAGTCTTTGAGGAACCAAGACTGAGTTTCCCAAAGGTCCTCTCCACCTCTGTATTTGACACCAAGTCTCGAACAATCTTAAAAATTCTACTGACACTCTTTAAAACTACTTATTTATAGGAGCTCCCAGGTGGCTCGGTCGGTTAAGTGGTTAAGCGACAGACTCTTGGCTTCAGCTCAGGTCATGATCCTGTGGTAGCCAGAGCCTGGAAATTAGCAACCAAATAACGAGCTGCCAAAATCTCATTCATTCCATTCACAGGGAAAACCACTCTGGTCCACTCATTCCCATAAAAGAAGACGCCAGTATTACGAAGGTTCCCGCCCAGGCCAACGCGTAAATTCCAACCACATTATCCCGAAGCCCTTGCAGGGTCGCCTGCAGTTAAAGGACAATCCGTCCACGGTCCGCACGGGACCTGGTGTAGTTTTTGGAAATCCCGCCCAGGACTTGTGCTGGGGCCGTGGCGGGTCGCCCAGCGATTACCCCCGTGGCAACCGCCTCTGGGTACTCCCAGACAAGAAAGATCAAGCCTTGCCTTTGGGGCCTGTTCTTCAGTTTCCCCATGCACATCTTTCTCAGGAAGGGGAGCTGCCCTGTAAAAGAAAAAATCTATGGTCTCAAATGCCAAGAGAACCGGCCAGCTTTCTGCGAGCTCTGCGCAACTCGCGGCCGCTCCACCGCCTGAACACCAGGCGGGCGCCGAGGCCCCCCACGCCGTGCTCCGCAGCGGCCCAAGGCCGGACCCGCCGCGGGGCCGGCGCGCGCGCACAGGTGTCGCCGCGCCCGCACTCACCCCGGCGCGGCCCTCCAGCACGGCGGCCAGCACGCGCAGGGCGCTGGGCGAGCCCGCGCGGAAGTTGAAGAAGTGCAGCGCCGCGCGCGCCGCCTGCTCCAGGAGCCCGCGCGGGAGCCCCGGGTCCTGGCGCCTCGGGGAGTCCTCGGGCTCCCCGGCCCCCGCGGGTGCCGCCGCCACCCCTTGCAGGGCGAGCGACAGCAGCAGCGCGAGCAGCAGAACCGCGGGGCGCGGGCGCCCGGTCCCGGAGGCGGGCGGCGGTTGCACGCGGAGCGGCATGGACACGGGTGGGCTGGCGCGGGGTTCGACGCACCGGCTCCGGGGGAGCTGCGCCGGCGCTCGAGGAAATAAGGCCGCGGCGGGCCACTCCCCTCCGCCCTCGGGGCGGCCCGCCGCCCGGAGCCCCAGTCCGCGCCCGGCCGCGCCCTCTAGGCGCCGCTTCCAGCCGCTGGGCTCCTCGCCCCGCCCCACGCACTCCGCCTGGGCCCCAGCGTTCCGGCTCGCTGCCGGGACGCGGCGGCGCCTCCCCGGCGCGGGGCCGGGGGTGTGCGGCCCAGGCTGCGCTGGTAGGGGGCGAGGGGCCAGTGGAGACTCGTTCCCCGAGGGAGCGCAACTTGCCCGCCTCCACCCTGCGCCGCGCCCCCAGTCTAGTCGGTGAGCCGGCTTCTCTCTGCAGTTGCTGCGATTTCGAAACCCTTCGGGTTTGAGAACGGGTCTGCTTCAGGTCTCCAAGGCTTGGAACTTTGGTTTCCCAGACAATGAAATTGGGGACTGTGGAGAGAAGGGGGAGGGACGCAGCCGGCATTGTTGGGGGTCCCTGTGGGACAATGACGTTGGAAGTGGGATAGGTCGTAGGAAAGCTGGGGCTGGAGGGGAGGCTGTAAGTGGTCAACAGGACCTTCACCCCCTGGTCATGGAGGGGAGTGGTGGTTCAGGTGTAGGCTCAGGCCCCATTTGGGTGAATGAGTCATGAATTGTTGGTGAGGTCTTGGAGAGAAGCTATTTTGCTCCCCTAGACAGCGTGTCCTCCCCTCCTTTTGCTGCGCCTTTGAGAGGAAGCCTGTAGCCCCAGAAGCTGCTGGTACCATCTAGCCACCCTCCAGAGAGTAGGCATCAGGATGAAGACAAGTGAGGGGAAGGCAGAAATGAGGCATGAAAAGAGATCAAGTCCTTGGAGACATGACCGACCTGCTGGCTCAAGCCCCACCTGAAGCCGGCCCTAGCTCTAGACTTTACAGTTGTAAGAGCCAATAAACCAAATTTATTGTTTAAGCCAACTTGAGCATGATTTTGTTATAACAGTTTAAAAATTCGTAATGCACTGCTGAGGCAGATACCACTGGCAGTAATCAAAGATATAAGGTTGCCATGGGGTGGGGGTGGGGGGTCGGGTCAGCGTGTGCCAGCACTGGGGACAGTCTGGGAATACCTCAGCTACTGCTTACCTTGAGAAGACCGCATTGGCAGAGCCCACCAACTGGGCTGAACCAGCTGGTGAAGGTTAAGCTGGTTAAGGGCAGGTTGGACAACGGTCAGCTCGTTTCTCAGGCTCTTCTCTGAGAAGAGCAGGATCAGGAGGAGTGGGAGGGGGAAAGGACCCTGCAGGAGGCGCTAGAGACTTGAACCTGGACGTGGCAAAAAGTCCCATCCAGAAGCACTGGGATGAATGGAGTATTTTGTAAAGGCCTGAGTATCCTCTATTGACAACTTAGTTTTCTCCCCATCCCTTACCCTTGATCTCAAGAGTGCAAGCACCCCCACACAGATGAAATCAATGATTAGAAACCACAGGTGATATCAATTATTAGGAAAACAATGAAAACGTTTCCTATTCATACATGACTGAGGCCACAGAATGTAACACCACAGCTCCTTTCTGGACATTTGCGCAGAACGTCTGGAGGGCCAGTCGGAAACTGCTAACAGTGGTTGCTTCTGGAAGAGGGAGCTAGGGGCTGGGAGGAGCTTTACTTTAACTGCAAGTCTTTGGTTCTCCACTGTCACCTCTTGCTGGTAGCACAACAGCAGGGCGCTTGGACTTGGCGCCACATTGCCAGCTTCACCAGTGTGAGCTGAGGCAAGTGATTCCAATGTTCTGCGCTTTTGCGGTGTCTCCCAATGGTTTGCATGTGCTAATGTCTATACAAATGTAAAGCACTTCCAATGGTTCCAGGCACACAGTAATGGCTCTGTGTGTTATTATTATTATGGCTGTTATGGCTATTAACCTAAAACATTAGATAATAGTCTTCAAAATAATGCAAATCAGCTGTGGATTTTTTCCACCGATGATGAGAAGGGATGGCAGCGACTAAAACCTGCTGAGCCATTAAATAAAATCTTGGCTATTACTCTTTAGCCTTCTTAACCTAATCTTTTATTAGAGCTATTAGCAGGTCAGAAAATGTGATTCTATATCCCTTCTCTATTCTCTTTGGCAGGTGAAAGCGAAGGGAGGCGGGATTGGGAGGAGAATATGGATAATCAATCCTTTACTACTGAAAACTGATTAACCGAAGCTCAGGTGTGACTGAGATGATCCTCTTCTTTGAGCCTTAGAATGAGGGACACTTGTGAAGAAAGTGTGGGTCACCTGATTCCTTGGGTCTGCATCTTGCATACTCTAAGGTGACTTTAGTTTTTGTTTGTTAAGCCCTATAGACCTTTATGTTTTCCATGCTACGTCCCCAGGCCTGTCGTGTCTGTTCCAAATGTTTGGGAATTTTGCGCAAACCCTGGAGGAAAGCATTTTGCTGGTCATGGAAAGAAAAGAAGCCCCACTTGACAGAGTGAGCTGTTTTCATACAACATTTGGCTTTCTGATCTCTCCCTTGAAGATGCCTAAGACTCAGGGAGAAATTCATCGTCCTCAGCACTGGACCCATTAAGCTATCTGATGCTCACACTGGCTGCAGAGAGTCTCCGGAGATGGGAACAAGACCCAGGGCTTAGAGCATCACACCTACACCCAACCAGATTCTCAATAGCCAGGCAGAGGGCCCCCCGCAGTGCCAAGGGCTCTAGAACGCAGGTCTGGGTTGTGATGGCTGTGATAGGTTTCTGAAACTGAGATCAGGGAGGGAGCCTTTCTAACTTGAACCACTGAGAATGAATTCTTGGAGATGCAGAACTGGAGATAAGTTTCCTTCTAAGAGAAGTGTAAAGGGCCTCCGGCACTCTCTCAGCATTAGCACCATCTTCTTGGAAACCTCTGCGCCATGAGAGCCAAGTGGAGGAAGAAGTGTGTGCAAGCTGAAGTGTAAAAGAAGAAAGATGAGGCAGAAGTCTGGGCAAACCACTAGCGTGTGCACCCATGGAGCCACAGGAGCAGAAATAAGGAAAGCCAGAGGCCAGGGACACTGGTACCAAATGTTGGACTGCATGCCTACTTTCTAGAGCTTGATTCAGTGGATCTAAAACATCCATTGCCATCTAATTGCAACCACCACCTTTGAGAGACTCACCTTGCTCATACCAAAACAGTCCCTTCTGGTCCTTTGCTCTGGACCTGTGATTTTGGGGACTAATTCTGTTTTCATTTGTGGCTGAATGTGACATGTGCACAATAAATCCACTCTTCTGCTGTCTTAGCTGAAGAAAATAAATTTTTAAAAAGATAAAAAGGGGGGCACCTGGGTGGCTTAGTTGGTTGAGTGATTCTTGATTTCAGCTCAGGTCATGATCTCAGTTTGTGAGTTCAAGCCCCACATTGGGCTCTGTGCTGACAGGTATGTAGCATGCTTGGGATTCTCCCTCTCCCTTTGTCTCTGCCCTTCCCCTGCTCTCTCTCTTTCTCTCTCAAAATAAATAAATTGATTAAAAATAAACAAATAAAAGAGATATTATATAAAATAGAGTAGTTGCATTTATTCCTGTCACCAAGGAAAGATTTCACATGACATAGTTTAGTTAGAGACCAATATGGATGTGTTTGAAAGCTTCAAAATCCAAGTGAATAAAGTAGCCAGCACTATCCAAAAGAACTTTCTAATGAAAATGTTTCTATATTTGCACTAATATAGGAGCCACTAGTTACATGGAGTTACTACGTGTTTGAAATGTGGTTAGTGCAATTGAAGAACTGAATTTGTAATTTTACCTACTTTTATTTGATGTAAATATACATAGCCACTTGTGGCTGATGATTATTGTATTAGCACGGTGATAGACAACTGACTTTTCACTACGGCGTTGATATGGGGAAAGGAAGAAAATAATATTTTGGGGAGTTGTGTTTCAGATAGATGCTACATGCTTTTGGTAACAGAATTACCTTGTTCAATTTCCAGTTTAGAGGAATAAACTGGAGGCCAGAAAGAGGTTACATGATTTCCCCAAGGTTGCATTACCAGCAAGTGTCAGGAAAGGGGTCCATACTCAGGTGTGGCCCATCCTTTCTCCACTATTTTGGTGGAGGGGTTTGGATTAAAAAAAAAAAAAAAAAACTAAAGAAGGATGGAAAAATATGACTTTGTGGTCAGAGGAATTGGGGTTATTTTGTTTTGAGAGAAGAATACTGAAGGAGCCGCTCAATCTTCAGCGCAAAATTAAAAAAATCAGTTTTTAGGGGAGAGTAGTATGTTGTCTCTTTTAGCACCAATGAAAGCTTCATTTTATTCTGGTCATTCTTGGTTCTGATATGTGAGCATTTCTCTTTAGAGCTCAGTGAGACTGGTTGGACTTCAGGCCTCCAGGAGGAACTCAACAGCTTGGGCCTTAGGATGCTGTATGAGGAGCATCTGCGATGACCAGAAACTGGTGGCTTCTAAAGAAAATAAAAAGCATCAAGCTTCCTATACCCAAATTATTTGATGGTTGCAACACTGGTTGTTAGTTAAGGTTCATAGTGAGTGGGGACAACCTATTTGCCTGACTATTCTGCATTCCGAGTCACTGCTACATTTGAGCAGATGAATAGAACTGTTAGGCAATTCTCTGTTCCACTTACCGTGAGTATGAAACAATCCTTTTTAAAATCCACCATGCGTTCATAGTTAAAACTGAAAGTAATTTAGATGGTGTGGCTTTGAGAAAAATTACTTCTCTTGAAAAGATTTGACAAGCCCATTTTGACACAAAATTGCCAACAGATGTTTTTAAAAACGTAATGAAATGAACACTTGGGTCAGTACCCAAGGTATTGGATTTTGCAATTTTCCAAAGTAAGCCCTTTGCATGTAATGCTAGTTAGGAATGCAACATCTTTATGGATCAATTATACACTTTCTAATGAATTTGGCTTGGCATTTTGTTTTTCCATCAATCACTTAGGACAGGATATTTGCCATTCCAAGAATGAATTAACATTCTACTTGATTTATAAACTGTGA